TTGGCTCTCTAATCCTTGGGTCAAGGGCTGGGGGTTGTTAAATCTGATGTCTTTTTGTTCCTACCTAGCTGTCACCTAGGTGTAGTAGTTCTCAATTTCCAGTCTTCCAGGACATGATGGGATACACTTAGGAGCGCCGGTGAGTTGTGTAATCTTGTAGTGGGGGTGATGCAGAGTTATAAATAAGAGGTTCCAGTATTTGGGGTTTAGTCTTGGGTGACTTTCGGAACTCTGATGGTGGGTATTTGTGATTTGACCCATTTCTCCTATTTCTGGGGAGCTGCCATCTCTGCTGGACATCTTGATCTCTGGGGCCTCCAGTAAAATCCACTTCTAAGGCATAGGGACTGAGTCTCCACAGGTTTTACCTTCTCTGCTATGAACGTGAATTATCACATTTATAATGCTGAAGCTCCTGGGTGGCTGTTGTAGGTGTCTTCTCAATAGTTCTTATGGGGCACCAGGAACAAAGGGATCCCTTTGGTATTAGGGTCTCTGAGTCAAGTATAATTTTCATTGTGGTTATTTTAGTAACTCTGGTTCAGGTGCACTCTGCAGGTTGTAGAATGAGACTGCTGGCAGATTCCTTTATGTGATCCCAATTTGTCTCTGCTGGCTGCCACGTGGCACTTACTGATAGTTTCCAAGATGGGTCTGGTTGTTTTCTGGGCCAGGGATCTCAGTTCCCATGAAACTTTCCACCCCAGAGATCTGAGCAATTTTTGGTTGGTTTCATGAACTCCTCTTTCCCCACTGACTCCGTGTTCATTAAAATCAATCCACAAGTTCTCCCAAGCCCACCCCACCAACTTTTAAAACTCTCTGCCTATGCTCCCCTCTCCCTAGAATGGTCACAGCTGTGGCTGCTAGTCAGGCTGGTGCATCTCTAATGTATTATTTCTTATATTCTTTCTGCACTTCTGTGCTTTTATAGTTTCTTTTACAGCCCAGGATTAAGTTTCAGTGAATTCCCTTTATTACCCACTTTGCTGAGGAATATTATTCCTGCTTTGTAAGTCTGGTGTTGAGGAACTGCTGTGAAAGTGTGTGTTCTTTCTCTATTCTACCACCTTCTCTCCTCCAATGCCTATTTTAATATAACTTATAATGTTTTCTCAAAAGTAAGCAAAAACTGGGAGGTTATATAGGAAGGGTTCTTACACATGAGTGCCTGATAACTATCACAAAAGACTCTGCTAGAGTTAAAAGTTTGTTCTAAGTCAATTCAAGACCTATACATCTTCCTAACCTCTTACATAAGTAAACTCAATCTCTTTTTCACTGGTATGATTATTTATCCCCAATATTTATCCCTCTAAAAGATGTAAGGTGACATGGAAGCCCTAACCAACTTGTCTAAGAAATTCCTACATGACTCAGCTAAAGGGGATCCCTCTACCAAGCAAGTAACACTAATAAAAAAGATATAACTCAAGAGGATACCTAAGACATTATAGAAACTAAATATTATGTATATGTTTCTAATAATTCTGCTAATGTTTCCAAAGTCTTAAATGACCTTCACTTATAAATCAATAGCATGTTAGACCGCACCCAAAGGTCTAATGAGTCACTGTTTTCATGGACTGATTGCTTTTGTGCACATTGTTTACAGATAATAATGCTTTGTACTCCTGTTTAATGTTGTCTTAACACAATCCCTGCCCTTTATATGCCTCATTCAGTCACCTGCCAACTACCACCATGACTTGACTGCCCTGATGTACAAGATGCTCCACTTCTACTGGGGCCCCTTAAAGAGGCTTCTGTGGAAGGATCTTGACTGTCATCACTTTTCAATTCCCCTTTTCAGCCTTAAGTAGCCTAAACTGTCATTGCTCCTTTCCCCCAAGTGAAGTTAAGGACACTTCTTCAGAGCCCGGGGTGTGTGGGGGGAGTGCGGGGGGCGGGGAGATAGGATAGGTAATGGGATCCCAATTAAAGTTGGTTTTCTTTTTTAATGTAAAGGCCATTCCATGAGGTTAATCTTTAGAAATATTCCAAACATTCCAGTCAAAATTTTGTTCTGGAGCATTGGTAAAAACGGAAGTGAAAGTGAATCTGGATAAAGGCTACAAGTTCAAACTCAAGGGGTGAAGAGTACAGCTAATTGGAAGGTCATGGCCAAACCAATAGCATTCCAAATACCTGTTTAGCATGGATTTTCATCAATTGTGTAGGTACTTTTCCAAGAACTGATTAGCATATATTTTGACCATTACCATTGGTACTTTCCTAAGCCCTGAGTAGCATAGATATTGGTCAGTGTCCCTACCCAGTAGCTATATAACCTCCTAGAATAGTACACTTAAGTGGCAACCTGTAATCAGTTACCTTGTGGGAGTTCTCTTTTCATCTTTTAACATGATCCTACTCCTTTCTCTCTTGCCTTCTGTTGCACATTGTCTCATTTTTCAAATTTCTGAGACAAAAACTCAGAAAGAAATTGGCAGAACACCAATGGCCAATCATTAAGAAATGCAAAATGCTACTTGTTAGTAGTGGAGAAAAATCCAGCTTGGCTGGTTGCAATCCTTGGAGCTGACACTGGCAGGTATCCCCTGCTGTTTAGCTGCTAACACAATGGGCTTTCTTGGCTGCAGAGGATGCAGCTTACGCAGACCTCACGTGTCAGCAGGAGCAGACAACTGAGTTTCATCTTAAACTTTGGTTTTACTGTTATAACCTGATAAGAAGATAGTCCCTAGGTTTCCACTCTGCATGCATATATGACCAACACTCCCTAGGGACCCCAGGAACCTAAGCTGGGGTGGGATTCTCTAGTTGGCAGCACTTTCCATGTGCTTTCTCATATTATTACTGAGGGAATTAAGCACATCTCCCTGTAACTCCACTGGGTGGAGATACCTGGAAATTTGTGCTTGATTTCCTCAGTACTTTGACTCATAGGCCTTTTTCCTATATTGATTTTTTTTCTTGTGTTGGAGAAGGAACCCAGGCAAGTGCTCTCTGCCACTGAGCTACATTCCCAGCCCACTGTTTTTGCAGTACTGGGGGTTGAACCCAGATATACTTCACCACTGAACTCTACCATTGAGTATCCCCAGCTCCAGGACTAATTTTTTTTTTTTAAATTTTTAGAAATTAATTAATTTATTTTGTATGGTTCTGGGGATTGAAGCCAGGGTCACTATACCACTGAGCTAGGGAAGGGCTTCTATTACCCAGGATTGTACAATAGCCACATGTGAGTCATCCATGGAGCCAATGGCCTCCTTGGGCCCTACAGAGGGGCTTCTCCTCTAACTCAAGCTAAATTTTGCAAGAAGAGATCCTGCAGGGCAGCTTCCACAGCCTGAATGCCTGCCCACCCAGCACTTCACCACAGTGAAGGCAAGCTTCTACCTACATCTATCCCCATGTACTATCTTCCTTGGACACACTGGGCATCTGCCTGGGTGCTCCTAATTTTCCACTGGGGACTAAATGCCTAGGCATGATGTTGACATGTCAGGAACTGGCTACAGTGATATGGGGCTGTGTAGAGAATGCTGTAGGGATGTTAGAATAAGTAGTTAGACATGAGCAGGGGGTTGGGGTGCTGCGTCCCTCCCCAACTCAGGCAATGGCAAGGCCCTACTGAGGTGGATAGCGCAAGGCCGTCCATCCTCTGGAGGAGCACAGTATGTTTCTGGGAATGGGCTGGTTTGGTTTTGTATTCCTTTAATAAGTATAGTTGTGACTTCTCATATGACCATTAAGTATGAAGGAAAAAACATGACCTTCCCAATTAATGCAACTACTTCTAAAGAATAAATCTGTTTGCTCTAAATGCAATGATTCAGCTGTGGAACACAAATCGTTAATGTTTAATGAGAAACCCCCTGTAGGAAAAATAGTCAAGGAAGTTTTTGAGAAATTAAATTAAAATCTAGAGAAGAAAAATTAATATTAAGAAGACAGATTAGTGCTTAGTACTGGGCAACTTGTTCTTGTTCCTGTGCACAGTGGTTTGTGCTCTTACTCTTGTTTGATTAAAATTAGTAGCCTCTCTTTTCAAGTTAACCACTTGCCAAAACCACAGCGCCAGTTCTAGTCAGTAAGTCAAGAAAGAATAGTCAAGGTATAGGTCAAAAGTCTGGGACATTTCTAACTATTATTAAAAGCTAACTAAGCAGAAACAGCTCAAAGCAAAACGTGAACTGAAAGTAAAAATGCTTGCTTATGCATAAGCCAAGATACATTCTTCTTATCTAATTGTAGCTATGTAATATTTTGTTTCTTTGAATAATCAAGATTCCTGTTTTGTAACGACAAACTACTGTGAGCCTGCCAAAATGAGAAGTATATATGATTAACTTCACAAGTAAAGATTGGGATTCAGCATCTTCACTTTTGTGTCTGTGTTGTTTCTCCACCCCCTTTCGCAACTCCTCACCATCGTTTAGTCTCCTGAGACCCCTGCTGGAGCTGGACTCCAACACTGGGGGAAGGAAAATAGGGCTTACTCATTTTGAGTGACAAAAAACTACTCCACCTAGGTGACAAAAAACCCTACCTATAAACCACCTCCTCAGATATTGTCTTCTTAAAACTAAAGAGAAATGGGTGTAACCAACCTAAGGGACTTTCCAACTTTGGAGCAGCAGAGTACCAAGGCGTTAAGCTATGGGATAGAGAAACCAGGATAACCAACCCAAGTATACAACACACGGGGGAGGTTTCCAGACCAAATATAAAATAATAACCAGGTGGAAAACCCCACACCATTCTTCTCTTGGGATAGCCCAGGAATGTAAGCATACTTTCATTTCCTTAAATAAACCCTTTATGCTTTTTCTATGTCTCCTGACTGAAATCTTTCTTTTGAAAAGAACTGAGAAATACATCACCTACTAAATGGACACTGAGCTGTCCCTAACAGATAACTCCACAGTACAGCTACTCCCATAAGTCCAGAAAATTTGCCTTTTTCCAAATCCCTACCATCCAAGGTTATTTTCCCTTCCTAAAACACAATAATGTTCACATGGAAGTAATAGTGTTTGTAATTCTTCTGTTTTATTATGATTAATATGAACACAACAGGTTACAGAGGAAATTCCTGATGGAAATTATGTCAGGAGCCAATCCAAGGACTCCAAGTTGACATGTCTTCTTATTGGCAGGAAAGATCTCCCTTGTGAATGACCTCCAGACCCATCAAGGAAAACAGGATGATGGCACATCCTCGAATGGCCTCATGTTTCTTCTTGGAAAGTGTATCCCTTCCTGGCTTATGAATCTGCTCGGGGGTGATGGGTAAGGTTTTTATATCTGGAGGAACAAACAATCTGGCTCTAGGAGCCCTGAAGAAGTGACAGTACCTTCCTTGTTAGGTAACTCAAGAAGTAGCTTCTGTGACCAAGAGCACCTCACCTTAATCACCATGTTTGCTTCCTAGGGGAAAATTCCTGCCAGGTGGAGGCTGCACCACACATAACAGTTTTGCCACATCCAGTGCATTTATTTGGTCCACATCACCCACCCCAGTGTCCTCTGCACCCAGAAGACTGCCGGGCACATAGTAGGTGCTCAGCAAATGTCTGTTGAACTGAATGGCAAAGGGCTTCTCATCACCATGCAGTCTCTGGTGTTCCAGGAGGTGTGAGCTCCAGTTAAACATTTCACCACATTCATTACATTTAAAGGATTTCTCTCCAGAATGAACTTTCTGATGTTTAATAAGACAATGGTTCTGGCTGAATGCTTTGCCACACTCATGACATTTATAGGGCTTCTCTCCAGTGTGGATCCTCTGGTGCACGATGAGGGATGAGTGGCAGCTGAAGGCTTTCCAGCACTTGCTGCAATCAAAGGGCTTCTCTCCAGTGTGTATCCTCTGGTGTACAATGAGGTAAGAGTGGGAACTGAAGGCTTTCCCACACTCATTGCATTTGAAGGGCTTCTCCCCACTGTGGATCCTCTGGTGCACAATAAGGTATGAGTGGCAGCTGAAGCCTTTCCCACAATCAGTGCACTTGAATGGCTTCTCTCCTGTGTGGATTCTTTGATGGAGAGTGAGGCGTGAACGGTTATTGAAGGCCTTCTCACATTCATTGCATTTGAATGGCTTATCCCCGTTGTGGATTTTCTCATGCACAGTGAGGGACGAGTGGCAAGTGAAGGCCTTGCCGCACACATTACATTTGTAGGGCTTCTCGCCAGTGTGGATGCGGTGGTGCCGGGTCAGGTGTGTCCGCTGGTTGAAGGCCTTGCCACACTCACCACACTTGTAAGGCTTCTCCCCAGTGTGCACCCTCAGGTGCATGTTGAGCAGTGAGCTGCAGCTGAAGGCCTTCTCACAGGTGCTGCACTTATAAGGCCTCTCTCCTGTGTGGATGCGGTGGTGTACATTGAGAGACGAGTGGCAGCTGAAGGCTTTCCCACACTCACTGCAGAAGAAGGGTTTCTCACCTGTGTGGATCCGTTGGTGCTCGATGAGGTTGGTGCTCCATGTGAAGGCCTTGCCGCACTCATTGCATTTGTAAGCCTTCTCACGGCTGTGCCAACGCTGGTGTAGTGTGAGAGATGCACTCTGTGGGAAGGTTTTCCCACACTCGTTGCACATGAAAAGACCAGCCCGAGCTCCCTGTGGTCTGTTTGCTGGTGGGTTTTTCCCACACTCACTTGACCTGAAAGACTTTTTCCCTGTGCATGTCCTCCGATGGTCTTTAGCTATACCTTCAGCAAAATGAATGTCCTTGGTGCACCTGGCAGGAGAGTGTTCTTCTGTAGGGGCATTTTGCTGGGTGAAGCGGGTGCACCCAAGGGGAAAACCCTCCTTGGATTCATTATGCCCCCAGTAGCTCTCCTCCGTGGAGATGTCCCCATGGCTGGTAGGCACTCCCTTCCACAGGGCAGCCTCATTTCTACAAAGAGTATCTTCCTGGGCTACCCAGGCCCATGCCCCACTTGGGCTGGTGCTGTGAAGGCTGGTCCTCTTCAACTGCTCCACGATGGGCTTCAGGGATGGGTTTTTTTGGAAAAAGTTCTGCTGTTGAGAAGATTCCTCCTTCATCTCTGGCATAGGCTCCCACTCTGTCAGAGATTGAAAATGGAATTTTCTGTGAGTACACTGAAGAGCTGACATGGAGATGCAGAAATGCCCAGGAAAGGAAGTAGAAACCGAAAGAATCAAAGAGCTTGAGGGCCTGAAATCAGAGGGACAAAAGAGAGCCTCCAGAATGAACTACTTGAACAAGACACAAAAAAAGGGAAGAGGAGGAGGAAATGGGAAGAAGCTGCTAGAGAGCATGAAGAACCGGCCAAGTGAGAAGCCAAGGGAATCCCAAAAAGGGTAGCTTCAAATGAGTACCAGGGGGCTGAGAAAGAGGCAAAGCTCAGGGAGTCTAAGAATCAGGATATGATTCAATCATTGAAAAGTCCACTAATTGACTATTATGTGTCAGGTCAGGAGGTGGGTGTACTTAGGAGTCTGAAAATAATTAAAATTTCCCTGATGCCAAAAGGGAAAAAGGATTCCCTCTTCCTCACCTCTCTTTAGCATTTCCTTTAGAAACTTGGGAATGTAAATACTTTGTCTAGCTCTAAGATGCATGTACATCTTTTTAGAAGTACACTAAGTCTCTTGCCAGCTCCATATCCTGGAACACATCTTTCTTGGAGTCACTGTGAAATCTGAACATGGAGGAAGAGGGTGGCATCCTGTCTCCCTGTCTCTGTGGGAGGTAATTTCCTGCTTGTCAACAAGATATAAAAAGTCAACAGTTTTCCTAAGACAAAGACAACTGATATGTGTGAGAGGCCCTGCACTGGATTAAACACTCATTCAATAATGAAGTTTTTTTCCCCTTCTATATCTATAGAGAAGTGTTCTGGACTGGCACAAGATTTTATTTCTATTTTCCCCAATAGCTTCAAGTAGAACAGTGTATCACAGTGGGTACAGCTGCATTGTAGTGCAGCGTGGGGCCCCCAAACTGTTCAGAGGAGCTGGGCAGGCAGAATTGGCTCAGTAAGGATGGACAGTAGGCAGCCAGGTAAAGGAAAAGGAGAAGAACCTACCATCAACGTAACAGTGCATCTAAGGGGGAAAAGAGAATGAAACAGGAGGAGGGAAGGCCAAGAGGTGGCTCTGGCAACAAGGACAGGTGCTGGATGATGAGATACCTGACACATAGGGTTCTGGGCAAGGAAGACTTTCTACACAGAGGACAATATGATATACCCAGTGCATCTTCTTATTTTTGGTTCTGGGGATTGAACCCAGGAATGCTTTACCACTGAGATACATTCAAGCCATTTTTATTTTTTATTTTGAGACAGGGTCCGTTATGGTTTGGAAATGAGGTGTCCCACAAAAGCTCACATGTGAGACAATGCAAGAAGGTTCAGAGGAGAAATGATTGGGTTGTAAGATATTAATCCAATCAGTGATTTAATCCCCTGATAGGGATTAACTGAGTGGTAACTGAAGTGATAGATGTGGCTGGAGGAGGGGAGAATTGGGGGATGGCTCTGGATATATATTTGTATCTGGCGTGTGAAGTCTCTCTCTGCTTCCTGATCACCATGTAAGCTGCTTCACTCTGCCATGATGTTCTGCCTCACCTTAAGCCCAGAGGATTGGAGTTGGCTGTTCATGGACTTAGACTTCTGAAACCATGAACCCCCAAATACACCTTTTTCTCCTCTACAGTTGTGCTGGTTGGGTCTTTTAGTTGCAGCAGCGATAAAGCTGACTAAAACAGAGTCTCACTAAATTACTGGGGGCATCACTAATTTGCTGAGGCTGGCCTCAAACTTGGATCCTCCTGCCTCAGCCTCTTGAGTCACTGGGACTACAGGTGTATGCCACCATGCCTAGCATAAAGATGCATTATAATGATGGACCTGGTGCTGTGTAAAGAGGTTGGAACAGAAGTTGGTCAGCAGGAAATCATGTGATTAACAGAAGGAATAATGGCAATTTCAGACTAGCATTGTGGCTCTGAGGATGAACAGGAAGCAGAAATATATTTTAGAAGCTAAAATTAAGGTTCTCTTTGCTATTGATTGGAAGTAGAGGAGGGGACATGGAGGAAAGGGCGAAACCTCAGCAGACACCCATGCCTAGGTGACCAATGGAAGCCTTTACAAAGACAGAGCTAAAAGGAGTTTCCTGGCACACAGTCAGTGCCAATGCTTGTGGAAGAAAAAATGGAGGGAGAAAGGTGGTGGGAGGCTCTAGAAAAGGTATGGGGAAGGACCAGCTCTCTTCTACCTTTGTTATCTGCTCACCTGAACAAGTCCTTCCAGTGACTTTGCTGTGCACTTGCCATGGCTCCTCACCTCGTTCCAGATGGGAAATGACATCTGGCTTGCAAACTGGAGGCCCTGCTTATAGAGAAGAAATTGTCAGGGCTAGATGTACTATGGCTCTCAAACTGAGCCAACCTCATAAAACGATTCATGAATCAGGACAAGGTACTGCAAAGGGTGTACCATCTCCAAGAAACATTAAGTTCTCTAGGCCCCAAAGTGGTGAGGGGCCTCAGGGGACCCAAGTGGCAGTGCATGACTCTGAAGACTCCACATTACATCCTCCGTTCTCACCTGAGGAATGCTCCAGGGATGATGGGTTAAAAGTCCTATCCTTTCTCCCCTAAGCAGTTCTCCATATCCTCCAGGCTCCTTGCCCCAGGGCCAGTCCCAATTCTAAGCAAGGATGCCATTGGCTACCATACCACACTCTGGGGACTTCTGGAGTGGCTTAACCTGTGACCAGGTGTCCTGAGGCAGAGGCCAGTTTTCCAAGTCATGCTATGTCCAGTACCAGCACTGGTGCTGAAGAGATTCTTGGTAACATCTACCACATGGAAGAAGACCAAGAGCATATGCCAAGGGAGCCATCTTACCAAGGGCAAGAAGGTTCTGGTAGTTCTCCAGCATCACATCCCTGTATAGGGCCCTCTGAGGGGAGTCCAACTGACCCCATTCCTCCTGAGTAAAGTCCACAGCCACGTCCTTGAAAGTCACTGATTCCTGAAATGACATATTTTCTCACTCATCCAGGAAGAAAGATTCTGTGTTCATGATTCCAAGAAAACCACAGATTGACTAAGGACCTCATAATTACAGTGTTAACCTCAGCTGACCTTCTGCTAATCATGGAAAGTTATGTTACAGATACTGACCATGGATGGGCTAAAACCCTGGGGTATGTGGGGAGCTCAGAATTGGCATGCACCTCCTACTCTGCATTCTGAACTAGGATAGTTAGGTTGAATAGACACCGTGGTGCTCTTATAACACAACATACCCTGAAATCTGCACATGGCTGCTCTAATATGTCCTGAATGAGAGCTATGCTTTCCATGATTAAGAATCTCAAACTTTGGCCTTGAATTTGTAATCCTCCTCCTTCAATCTCCTGAGAAGCTGGTATTACAGGCATGTGCTACATATCTGGATAGCAGTGGTTTTATTGTGTGTGTGCTTACAGTGCTAGGTATTATGCATGTGCTTTGATCCTTGAAAGGATCAAACTGATGCCTGGTGTTTTCACTGCCTCCCATGATGAATCACAGAAATATTTAAGAAATCTAAGAAAACCAATATTATAATAATACTAAAATAGTATTGGTTTACCTCCAAAGAAGGGGAAAAATAGAGAAGCAAAACAGATACAATATATAAAAAGTAAATAGTATAATGGCAGATAGAAATCCAACCATACTAATTACTATATTAAATGTAAATGGTCTAAAAATTACTTACAGTAACTAAGAGGTGGAGATTGTCAAATTGGATAAAAAAACATGTCACCTGGCTTAGAGAGGTAATTCAGTGGTAAAGCATTTGCCTAGCATGTTCAATCCCTGGACTGAGGGAAGGGGAAGAGTAAGACCCAACTATATGCCAGCTAGAGAAACCCATTTTAAATACAAAGACAAAAATAGGTTGAAAATGAAAGGGTAGATAAAAACCTGCAAATTTGCTAATTCAAAGAAAACTAAGGCAGTTATATTACATTAGATTTCAGAGCAAAGATCATTTCTAAGATACAGTCCATTTTTCAAACTTTTATCAATTTTTTAAAAAAAATCTATGCCCAATCAAGGATCATGCACTGCACTTGACTGTCATGTCTCTTGAGTATCTCATAGAACTAACAGCATTCTAACACTTCCCAGACTCTAGACTTGTCTCACAATATTTATTTATTTTGCAGTACTGGGGATTGAACCTAGGGGCCCTCTACCATTGGGTACATCTCAGTCCTTTTATTTTTTTTTTATCATTTATTTATTTTTTAGTTGTAGTTGGGCACAATATCTTTATTTTATTTATTTATTTTTATGTGGTGCTGAGGATTGAACCCAGGGCCTCACATGTGCTAGGCAAGTGCTCTACCACTAAGCCACAACCCCAGCCCCTCAGTCCTTTTTTGAGACAGGGTCTTCCTAAGTTGTCAAGGTTGGCCTCAAACTTGCAATCCTCTTGCTTTAGTCTCCTAAGTCGTTGGGGTTATAGGCATGTGCTACCACGCCTGGCCCAGCTTGTTTTACAGCTTTCTGTAAAATCAGTGTTCTATCTTTTTATCATCAGATCTTACCTCTTTTAAAGTGGAAGATTAACAGAATCACAAAATTCTAAAAAGATATCAAAGGACCATCAATCCTGCAGACTTTTCACTGTCCCATGCACCCCTGTAAATTCCATCACAGGGATAGGAGTGGTTTTGGTGGCAGAACAAAATGAGGTGAAAAGTCCAAAAGCTGTAAAAGGAAGGATCTGGGCCCTACTTAGCTACAGGAGTAGCCTCAAGATCAATTCATAATTGAGCCCATGGATTCTCTAAACCTCCAGATTTTTCCCTGAAAGCCTCAAGCCAGGGGCCTGGTGCACAGAAAATCACACAGGGATGAGCCTGCTATCACCACTCTTACCCCAGTGCTTCCACCTGTCCATGTCTGATTCCTTCACAGCAAACTCCCCCAACCATTCCCCAGTCTTGCAAAAAGCCCTAACTCATATGTGAAGAGATCAAAGTGATTTCATGTGGGCTGTCATCTACTTGTTCAGGGCTTCATTAAAACCACTACTCAGAGCTCCCAGCACAGTTCCTGGGCATTCCCACTCATTGGACTGAATTAAGCTGGAAGGAACATTTATGAGACTTCATCATGTGTACACCTGGGGAGTCATCTGGAGTTTCTTCAAATGGACCTGTTCTCACTACCTAGAGCTTCCTGAAGACTGGACAGTAGGTCCCTTGTGGGGAGTAGGGGAGGTCCATGGCTGACTGAAGATGCAGGGAAAGAAAAATAATGTGCCAACCCTTTTCATATATAAGAAAAGACACTACTCACCTCAGATCTGGCTGCTAGGAGACTCCAATCTGATTTATCCTCTGGATTTTCTTTGGGGGAAAGAGCAGGGTCCTGAGTGGAAAAAGCTGGGGTTGAAGAAATGAGTCAAAGGGTGCTGTTCTGTTCAGCCACCATCCTCATGGCTGAGCTAAAGTTCACACAGCCCTGGCACAGGCAGGAATCAGAGAGAAGGCAGGAACCACCTAGCTTGGTCCTGTGGGGAGCAAGCCCCAATATCTGGCACAATTTAATTAATACAGCTTCTGGGTTAATTCTTCCTCTCAGCATCCCAGATACTTTAATTAAGGAGGAAAATATTGGCATTCTTTTCCTTCCATCAGCATCCTGGAGAGTGGGAACAAATGGTAGCCCAGGATGAAGAAGCAGGGGGACTGATTTGCTGGGACTTGTCAGAAAATAGCCTGACCTCTCTGAGTGTCAGTTTCCTCAAGTGAAAAATCCATAAACCCACGGACTAAAAGAGCAAAGCTGTACCTGTCTCCTCTGGTTTCAGGGCCAGAGTCTCCATAGCGGCCCTCCGCAGCATTCCCCGGGGGAGTGGGCAGTTCTGTAGCCTCCCGGATCCCAGGTTAGGTCCAGAGTGGAGGGTCCCAGGGACAGCGGCCCTGCAGGGAAGCCTCACAGCGGCAACATTCCGCGCCCGGGCTGAACTCGGGCTCAGACAAGCTCAGCAAACACACTGCACCCCACGCTGGGCTCGCGCTCCAGCACACCAGCCCACAGACACACCCACATCTAAGCTGGGCTCACACTCAGGCTCCATCACACGCACGCCCTGTCACCCCGTCACACACTCCTCCAGGAGAATTCGCGTTCGGGACTCGCTCGGGGACCAGACCCAGGCCTCGGGCTCGGCCGCCAAGAGCCAGGGTCACGGAACACGGTCGACAGATGGACCTGGAGACGGATGGAGAGACCGATGAACTGTCGCATGGACGGGCGAAAGAGCAGACCGGCCTCCTACAAAAGGACAGAGACAGCCACAAAGAGCAGACCAGCGACCACCGAGGGAAATTGCGCCTGCGCAGAACGGATGCGAACTACATCTCCCAAGAGCCTTTGCGGCGCAAGGCGGTGACTCCATTTCCCAGAGGGCTCCGGGTATCCGAACTGCCTGGGAGACCCAGCCCAGACCGGTGTTGTAGCACAGCTTTATGGGAAATGAATTTATGGGGCTACCCCGAGCGTTCCGTACTTGTAGAGCGCTGGCAGTGGAAGGCGCTGTACAGCTCTAAGCGGGGCGGTAGAGCGCAGATGCGTAAATATCTAATTGCGGGAGTAGATAGTGGTTGGGGCCCGAGAAGACGGGAATTGTGATTTCTTCCACGTCTCCAGGTGGAGGAGGTTGGACTACTGCCCACATCCATCTGTAAGAAAGGCCCAGGTCTCTGACCCTACGGATACTGAAGGTGGTGGGTCATCTCTCGAGGGATTTCCCAGGGCCCTGTCCCCGGTGTTCCTCCTGCAGCCAGACCCCTGAGGCCTGCCCTCAGACTTGGGAGAATCTCAGGCCTGTTATTAGGCCAGATGGCACTAAGCACAGTCTACCCTCTGGTGCAGTTGAAGGAGAATCTGGGTGGGGACCCAAGGATAAGGTTAATAATAGTAACAGCCATAAGCAAGACGTATTTCTGAAGCAGACCTCCCCCCACTCCCACCCCCGCCTTTGAAATTAAATTCAAAGCTCCAAATTGTTTTAACTTCCAAATGGAGGCTGAGAGGCTGCCCCCTGGACAGGATGGGCACTGGGAAGCTTGAGATTGGGACATGTTTCTGATTAACACAGCCAAGCTAAATCTACATATGTATATTTCCTGCCTTTTGTCCCACTGTGCCTCTCTTACACAAAAGCTTTTTGTCTCCTAAGTTTCTAAAGAAAGAGATCTGAGGAAAAATGTCTCCTTTCTCTTCTTCAGAGCCAGCTTTGAATTAAACTTACTTTTCTTCCTCAGCCTGACTTCTGAGTTGTTGGGGTTTTTGTTATTGTTTGATTTTTGTTTTTGGTAACAGGGATTGAACCCAGGGGCACTTAATTGCTGAGCCACATCCCCAGCCCTTTTTAATTTTTTAAAGACAAAGTCTCAATAAGTTGCTTGGGGCCTGGCTAATTTGCTGAGGCTGGCTTTGAACTTGCAATCCTCTTGCCTCAGCCTCTGGAGTTGCTGGGATTAGAGGCATGCACCATGGACCCTGGTTCTCTCCTGAGGTTTTTTGTTTTTTTTTTTTGCTGTTGTTGTTCTTTTATTATTATTATTATTATTAGTTCTTGATAGACATTTAGTTTCTTGTTTTCTTGATTTATTTTTATGTGGTGCTGATGATTGAACCCAATGCCTCACACATACTAGGCAAGTGCTCTACCACTGAGCCACAATCCCAGCCCTCTCTCCTGAGTTTTAATGGTGCTCCATAATCAGAAGAGTCTTTCCTTCCTGGTTACACTTCCAAGAACTGAATTCTGGCAGAATGCTCAATACGTTTGTTAGCTGTTATTACCCACTTTAAGAGAGAAAAAAACTGTTGAAGAGTAGGTGGAGTAACTTGTCCTGAGCCACACAGCCAGGGAGAAGCTGAATAACTCCAGATTATTACCAGATTTCTAGTGAGAATTGGTCTGGGTTGGGATTGAGGATGTACAGACTCAAATCCCTTCAGACTCCCACCTTGACCCCAGCTTAAGCACTCTGTCCAGTGCCCATTTTGGCATAACTGTACCCAGACCTCTCCTGTTGAGTGCATAACAGTGTCCAATAACACTGTGTTCAACCCCAGGACAGGAGAGTAAAATTGTGCATTTGTTCACCACAAGTCTGATTGTGACTCTGTGTTGGCTGGTACTGTGGGGTTTTTGATATATGTGAACCTACATATGTATGGGACTAAGTCTCACAAGTCTGATTTGTGTGTGTTGGCATATGGCTGTTGGCCACATAATGTGAAATTGTATGTTTGTGTCTCTGGATCTTACAGGTCAATGTGTTTATATATTTATGTATAACCATTAAGTTCATTTATGACTCTATGTCGCTTTTACCTCACATTTTTTTTATCTGTCTCACCATCTAAGTGTGCTTCTGAGAAATAGTACACACATGTGCTTATGCATAGGTGAGTCTGTGAGGCTGCCTGTGGCTTGTTTCACAATTCTGGGATGTGTGTGGCACCCTCTGCACATGGGAGGGTAATGTGTGCACCTGTGTGCTTGCTTATGAGTCTAATGTGATTCTTCTATATATATTGGCATATAGCTGTTGATTTAATGGTTTAGCCAGAGTCTTCTCACATATGTGTTTCCCGAGACTAGCACAGCCAATCTAGTAGGTTCCAGCTAGAGGCAAAAGAGGATAAGAAAAATGAAGACCCAAGGATGCAGATTTTGAAGATAACAGCTGAGGTCAGATGGAGAGCTGCTCTCTGATGGAGAAGCAGGTCTAAAGAATTACACGAGCAATCTTTATACATGTCTCATTATCAGATTAAAGACTATGTAAACATTATTCTTTGTATTCATGAAAGTTACAGAGTTAGCAACATTATGCAGCTTATTCCACAGTTGTATTCTACAGTTGCAATGTGCAGTGTTAGGATATTTGTGTAGCTCTCAAGAAAGTCCATTGATTAAAGTTACTGTTAGGTTGGAAATTTCAGGAGTAATGGAACTGGTGAAACATTGTGGTTGTCTAGCAAGAAAGTTCCTCTATTCCCAGGAACTGTGTGCCTGAGATTAAGGTTGAGGCTGATAAGACTTTAGCACAGAGCGTCCTCATAGAGGGCATTATCACATCATGTGCCTTTGCACAGAAACTTTCCCAGGTACTGAACATGCCACAGCCACAAAGTAATCAGAGACCCCAATTTCAGACACTGCTCTCCCGTTTTCTATCACTGCTTTCCACATGTGTTCATGTGTATGGTAAGTGTCTCACCATGGTCACACAGATCTGAATGAAGGTATAGGTGTATATTTCTGCAAATGCCTCTCCGTATGTTCATCTGTATGTGATTGTGAATGGTTCATAGTATCTTTTTTTTAAAAGAGAGAGTGAGAGAGATAGAGCGATAGAGAGAGAATTTTTAATATTTATTTTTTGGCGGATACAACATTTTTATTTGTATGTGGTGCTGAGGATCGAACCCGGGCCGCACGCATGCCAGGCGAGCACGCTACCGCTTGAGCCACATCCCCAGCCCCAGTTCATAGTATCTTCTATGACTGATTACCTGCATTTGTTCTTTGTGACAACGTTTATGTCCAATATAGGTGAGGATGTACAGTGCTGGGCAAGGCACTTAAATCAAGATTTGATATTTAAGTTCAGCCTAAAATTCTCAGAAAGATAAAGAGAGATCCCAAGTCACATTCTGACTCAAGAGTTCCCCATCCATGTAAAAGTTAGAGGCCTGACTAGCAGAGCTATGTGAAGCTCCACAGAAATATGGGCCTTATGCCATTCTAAACTTAAAACATTTTTCTAGATTTAAGATTTTATTTTATTTACTTATGTACTTATTTTATTTTATTTTTTGGTACTAGGGATTGAACCCACAAGTGCTCTACCACTGAACTACAGCCTGGTTCCTTTCTACTTTTTATTTTGAGACAGGGTCTCACTAAGTCTGGCCTCAAACTTGTGCTGGCATTACAGGCATATGCCTGATCTGTAAATGGAAGATTTTAAAGACCAAAATACATTAATGATTTTAGCCCATGGCCAGCACAAACTTTATATGTGGGATATCCTAAGGGAGTTAAATTAAAGAGACAGACTCTAATTACCTTTAAACCAGTTCCAGGACGGTTTCCGGCTTCTCATACCTCCAGCCTCTAGCTACCCATTAAAGTAGCGAGGTTTACTGGAGAGGCTAGTGAGAGAGAGAGAACATGCCAGGGAGTGGACTTTTATTGGGGAACAAAAAATTCTGGGGAAAATCCCATTCAAAGAAGATTAAGGAGGCAGTGTCCCAAGGTCAGGTAAGACGATTGGGTCTTCAGGAACTGTGGTCAGGCACGCCTCCATATGGACAAGCCCTCAACCCAAGACAGGTGGGGGAAGTTCTTAACACAAAGAGCGCCTTTCACCCTGCCTGGGAGGTAACTCAATCACGTGCAAGGATGGCCTCCCACAAATGATGTCTTGTCTTATTACATTAAATATATGGATTCTCAACCTATAAAAATCTTCTCAATACTTCTTTCAATATTGCAAATTAACTTGTGTCAGCAAGTAAATTAATTTTTGCCAGTAAAATTCCAGGCTTGAGCTGGGCATGGTTTGAGGGCAATCTTAGCAATTTATGTAGACCATCTGAAACTTAGAGAGACCCTGTCTCAAAACAATAAAAAGGACTGGGTGTAGCTCAGTAATAAAGCCCCCCACTTGGGTTCAATCCCCAGTGAAAAAGAAGGAGGAAGGAGTTGGAAAGGAAGAAAGGGAGAGGGCAGAGGATGAGAAAGAATTATTACAAATTTGCACAGGGAATATATCTCAAGCAAAAAGCAATAATCTGAATAGGTTGAAGATGCAGAGATCAGTTTAGAGCTTCCAGAGTCATTCTAAATTGAGAGGGAAAATCCAGAAGCTACTAAAATCCTGTGTGGCTCCTAATTGTATAAGACTCCAA